AACAGCCAGAACCAACATCTCAAGAAACAAGTACACTCTGCTTTTGAGCTCCAGAAAGCACCAAATAGGAGGATTTGGAAGGTCAAAACTTACAGACTCACAAGACCACACTCCATGGCTACATTACCAGTAATCACTGCTGAAGAAGAGGAGACTTATCACTGGAGCTGCCTGGAACGTGGGCAGAGAGCTCCAGGGATGCTGTTTTCATGAGTCATTGCCCATGCCGGGTGAGCATTTTGGTGATGCAGCTTCCTTTGAAAATCCATGCTCCTGTGACCTCAAGAACCTTCTCAGTTCCCCGAGGTAGACGTGGGTGCAATTCTTTCTGTGGTCTCTTGTGGTACCCAGTGTGGAGTGATTAGACATTCGTTCACATCTCCGAAGGAGGTAGAAGACTCCTGCAGTCCTCTCCAGCAAAGCCCCCAAGAGGAAGGTGGGGCAGACTCAACCTTCTTTTTCCCCATTTGTAAGTCCAACTCTTCGGCGACAGTCAAATACCCCTTTTCCATCTAGCCCTGGGACCTGACCAGCTGCATCTCCAGGATCCACAGACTCAACAGAAGCAGGGCAGGGCTGGAGTCTGGCAACCACACACACTTAGGAATGATGATAATGTCCCCCAAACTGAGTCCTATGTGGTCTCTGCCATAGGTTCCAAGATCAGCTACACAAACATTTGAGACCAGTGGACAGGAATTACCAAGTAGTTAGAGAGCTTAGGGGAGAAACGCCAGGACTCTGAGAGGCCCACCTCCCTCCACTGGCTCAGCGCTCATGGATGCTCTGGTTCCCTGGTGTACACAAAATAGCAGAATTGTAGACATTTTTCTGTGTTTTATAGCTAATTTTCCTTGCTGGTATTTTTCACATATGAGCTGTTTGTAGAAAGTAGAATGCACTAAGATATTCCTACAGATGTCATTGCAAAAGTCATTTGTTGTTTTCCCTTTCCTGGAACGCTTATTCCAATTTCATCAAAATATCAGTGTTCTGACATTCTGTAAATATGGAGGCTTTGATGGTAATCTTCCTAAACTCTATCTACACAGGACAAAACATTGGGTTACTTATAAGGTACAAGAAAAACCTGCCATGTTGAAAATGCTGTGTTATTTCTTCAGAGAGAATTGGAGCTCCCTGATGGTCACTCATTCAGCACGTCTCTCTATCTGTCATGGACCTTTGAGTGCTGACAGATTAAAAATGTCATTCTCCAGGCTGGGGAAATGGCTCAGCACTTAAGAGCACTTGCTGCTCTTGCAGAGGACCTGGATTGGGTTCCCAGCACCCACATGGTGGCTAACAATCACTTGTAACCAGTTCCATGGGATCCGGTGCAGCTCTTCAGGCCTCCACAAGCATTGAAGGACACGTGCACTCACTACATACAGGAGAAACATACTCATAAAAAATAATAAATGAAGTAAATTATCATTCTCAATCAGTGTTTTCCTAAATCTGTTTCAGTCTCTAAGTGGTAATCACATGTGTATTTTACCAACTCAAATATTGCCCGGTAAATTTTCCTTACAGTTTAATGATGCCATTATTATTTCATTCCATGAAGACTAAACAAAATAGAGTATCAACTTTAGAAAAGTTGTTATTTAATAAAATGATAACAAAACATATAGCTACACACAAAAAGAGAAAGGATGAAGGACTTCTCAGTCCAGGCAGGAACCCTCGCCTCCTGGTGAAGTCAGCGCCCAGAACAGACTCAGACACACCTCCCAGGAAGTCCCCCACTGCTCCGCCCACCCCTGCAGGCTAGGCACTGACAACAGCACTTGATGTTTTTGTCCTCAGAGAAGCTGGACTTTGAAATTGTTCACAACGTGACCTTCCTTGGATTCTACTCCGTTTCTTCCAGGTTTGACCCTGGCTTTGGAGGTGATGAGGGATGGGACAAGACTAGAACAACGCCCACGACCCCCGGATGCCCTGGACACTTCTCCTCTCCACAGCCTCCTTGTCACCACACAGGCAGGATCATTAGGACCAGAAAGTTTTTGGCTGAGCAAATGCCGGGCACCAGGGAGCACACAGAGCTGCCTCCCAAATGGAGACGTGCGGAAAGAGCCCTTTTCCCCTGGCGAAGACCAAGTCCTGACAGCAGTGAGAGCTGCGTTGAGACCTGGGACTGGAGGGTGATAAACAGGGCCTGGCAGGTGCTGGGAGGACACCACCCACAGCCGCCACTGACTGCACAGGTGAGTGCTCCCTCCCTGGTCTGCTGATTGGGGCCGCCTTTGACTCTGGGTGGGAAGCTGTTAGCAAGGCTGGCTAGGGTGAGAGAAAGGAAGGTCTCAGTGTCCCTGTCACTGAAGAGGAGGAAGGTTTCAGGACCCTGGGAAGACGCAGCCTGTCACTTCCCACCTGCCATCTAGAATTCTTATTCTCTTCATGAGGGAGCCTGTGTGCAGCAGGGTGTGCGGTGCCTGTGCCAGAGCCTTTCATTAGGCGGGCCAGGGAGGGACAGGAGACAGGAACCAGCAGCTTCTCAGTCTGGGGAAGCCATAGGTCAGCACTTTCTCCACAATCTCTGTTTTGACCTCATTACAGTGAAAGGCAGCTTTAAAAACAAACAAACAAAAAACTACATGGCTTTTTTCTATCATCCTTCAGGCTTTTCAGGGTGGGGTATCTGGCCTTCTTTAATACGATTTTTTTTCAGTTCATGAATTTTCCCTTTACTTGGCCCAGAATATAACAGTGTGTAACTGCATAGAATTATAGAAAGCACACGCATGATGATACTCCCAAGTGCTTTCAGTCAATGATTCTTTACTACATATATCAGCTCACTGATTCCAAGCAGTTCACTACACAAACAGAACACCAAACAGGACAAAAGTATCATCTCTTCAGGTTACAGATGAGAACACTGGGTCTTGGCCATGTAACTATGTTCAAGGTCATGTATATAGCAAATGGGAAAATCAGGATTTGAACTCAGTGTGGCTGATACAATGTGTTCTTGTGAATGCTGAAGTTTTTCCTTCTAAGCTTAAAGTTATCCTTAAAGGATCCAGAATGTGTCTTTACCCAGACACAGACTGCAATAGAGACCCTGATGACAAGGTTCACGCACACTACATCTTGTGGTGAATGCTTTTTAAAACGTAGATGCCATGGCTCTTCCTAGAGCAGATATGAGTGTGATTTTTCCAGCCCAGATGAGGCAATCTCTAGAAAAATATTGATAATTTCCTGATTCCAGAATCTGTTACTGATGTTCTAGAAAACACAGTGGAATATTTGAATCAAAGGTAACCTGATCATTAGCACATCAATACAGAGAAATGACAGGGAAGGTTATCAATCCCTCAAAGGGTGGTTCATGTCTCTAGGATGGTGGAAGCCTGGAAATTTACCCCATCTGCATGTGTGAGGAGACACTATGGATTTTTTTTGGTTTTATTTCTATTTTTACTTGGCTTACAAGTAACAGTTTTCTTATGACATTTCCATAAATGCAGTTTTAGTTGGGCCTCTCCACAGCTCCTGCTGAAGGAGCTTTCAGCTCTAACATGCACATGGAAACAGACCAACTCAAGTATCTCTCCCAGTTGACTTTTAGGCTCATCTCTGTGACTTTGGAGCTAAGTGCTTTATTTAGTAATTTTCTCCTAAATTACCTTTAAACCATCAACAGCAAATACTGTTCTAGGTAATGCAGACACTACACGGAAAGACAGCATCTCTCTTGTATCCGCTATCCAGGGCAGGAAGGAAGCAGGTGTCCAGGCAGTGCAGTCTGGTAAGTCCTGGGAAAGTGTAGGTGATGGCACACTGAGCTGATCTGTGCACAACGGGCAACTGACATTGTGATTGGGATGATTGGGCCAAGGCCAGCCTGGGATATGATGCATATTCCTGCCTCATGGTAAGTGCTAATGGTGTAATCTGTTCAGCAACATTTAAGGCAATTCAGAAATAAGTTTGATAAGAAGGAGAGGGTGCTAACAGTGGGGGACAAAAAGAACCAAGGCTAACAGGCAAAGCTCTCTATGTTTTATAAGCAGTGAAGCAAAAGGAGTCATTTTCTATTTTAAAACCTTATTTTCACTATAATGGAGAAGAAACAGAAACAGGATGTCCATTTTGAGTCACAAGTCACAGTCTGACATATTCTGGAGGACTGGCCTTCAGGATGGTAGTTTCTGATGAGTCTATCACTAGACTTACCAAAGATCAAACAACCCAGAGGAGGTGTCTTTGCTTGAATCCTTAGCAAGGGACTCACCTGGGGACTGCTCTGATGGCTCCTTCAGGGTATGCTCTTGGGAAAAATGAAGAGTGAGTCCAGGACAATGGGAACAGAAAAGAAATCGGCTGCAATGTGGTTCCTCATGTGTAGAAAGTAAAGAGCACAGATTCTACCCAGTTCCTCCTACCTTTTGCAGGGCCTGGACTGTTCTGCTCCATCAAACCGAGAGCCTGTCTTTTCCTTAACTGTGAAGGAAATCCAGTGTGGCTGGGAAATGGGGGAAACTTTTCCATTTGGCCAAATAAAATTCTTTTCTCTTCAGAAGCTTATTTTCATTCTTGAACAGCTCAGCAATCATTTGTTTCATGGATGCACGAGATGCTGAAGAGGGTCTGGGTGAGGTCCAGCACCATCCAGCAGCACGGTTCATGTGCTGCGTGTGATCGCTGAAAAGGAGGGAGGCACAAAGCTAACACTCAGGATTAGGATTGCCTAGATACTCACAGAGTGATGCTGTGGACATATCTTTGAAGACTGTCTGAGAAGATCATTATACAAATTTTTACATGAGGGACACAGAGTAGAATCTTTGGGAAAGGTGACTAGGTGAGTCAGCATGGGAATAATGTACAAATGTGTTTATCATCATTTCCATGTAAGTGGAAGCAAAACAGGAAGAAAAGAGCAAAGAACCAGATCAGCTCCCTGCTGGGAAAGGACATGTCTCAAAACCTGCTCTTGACGCTCCAGGGAGCCTGCAGTAAACACTCACTGTTTGTTTGTTTGTTTTTTCAAATGTATGTTTCTGAATTGAGCATAAAGCCAGAAGATGATTTGGTTTGACCTCATTCAGAAAATAGTCTTACTTTTTCTTACTGGATCTGGAATTTTAGGAAATGTCCTAATATTTGTGAGGCATGTACGCACATTAGTCGTGGGTCCTGAGAGAAAACCCATAGACCTTATTCTGATTAACTTGACTTTTTCAAACACAATCATTACTTGTCACACCGGGATCATATATGTAGCTGCGGTTTTCTCTTTCGGAAATTTCCTAAGTGATGCTGGTTGTAAAACTGCAGTCTATCTGTCAAGAATGGCCCGGGGCCTTTCCATCTGCACCACCTGTCTCCTCTGCATGGTCCAGGCTGTCACCATCAGTCCCAGTACCACCCTGTGGAGAAAGCTCAAACCACAGACTGCATGGCAAGTTCTTCCCCATCTCTTCCTGTTTTGGGTCCTAAATTCCCTGATAAGCTCCAACTTGCTCCACTACATCACAGCAGGCAGCAGTGTGAACAGGTCTGGGGTTGGAATGTATACTGGGTATTGCTATATGCTGCCGCCCAGGCACATTATTAAGTGGCTTTTCCTCTCTCTAATGACTCTTCGTGATGCCATCTTTCAGACTGTCATGGGCTGGAGCAGTGGCTCCATGGCTCTCCACCTGTATAAACATCACAAGCGTGTCCTCTACCTTCACAGCTCCCGGTTTGTGAACAATTCCAGCCCAGAAATCAGAGCTGCACAGAGCACTCTCATTCTCATGGCCTGCTTCCTCTGCTTTTATTGGGCAGATTTCATTTTCTCCTTCTACATGGGTTCCACCTTGGTACAGTGTTCCATAATGCTGATTATTAAATCATTTCTAGGGACAGGGTATGCTGCGCTCAGCCCCTTCGTCCTGATCAGCAGAGAAGGATGTGGGGCTAAGTCCTGCAGTGCTCACAGATAAGTGTATGGTTCATGCTCTGTACCCATTCCCCTGTGAATAGAAGGTTGTCACATTGGGACTTGTTTTGTTCTAACAGTCAAATGTCTCACAATATTGTATTAATTTGGTTACAAATTTAGTTTTTTAAAACTATACTCATGAGCTATATGGCAGTGTGTAGGGTTATCCTCTTACCAATGTTTTACCTCCTTTAGTATCAGGGTAATGCTGACTTCATTAAATGAACTACCATGTGCTTCTCTCATTTTTTATTTCTAAAGAGGGTTTTGTTAAAAACGTTACTGTGTTACTTTTTTAAATTTTTTAGAAGCATTTCATCACAGCTTTAACATACTTATTAACACCTTCCAGAGCAAAGATACATCTCTTTCAAAAGTGCCTATAAAATTTTGGTTCATTGTTGAATTAATAGTTACACAATATTGAACTCAGTATAAGCCCTGTAAGACATAAAATTGAATGAGTTTTTAACTTTTAAAATGGCTCAACTTCACTGGTAAAGCTATTTGTACCCAGAACTTCATGGTTGCAAGGCTTACAACTATTAATTCAGCATATCTGCCTCCCATTACCTCCCTCCCTCCCTCTGTCCCTCTCTCTTTCTCTTCCTGGTTCACTCTTTATTAGGGGGATTACCATCCCAGCACCCACACGGCAGCTAACAACTGTCTATAACTCCGGTTCCAGGGGATCCGACAGCCTCTTCTGTCCTCCACTGGCATTGCACGACACGAGTGCACTTACCTACATGCAAGCATAACACTCATACACATAAAATAAAAATAATAAATAAAATATTTTTTAAAACAGAAATTAAAACATTCTATAAAATTTTTATTTATTGATTTCACACATTTTATATTGAGGAAAATTTGTGCTTTAAATTATGTATAATAGTTATGCATTGGTACAAACACTGAATGCTTTTATAATCTGACCTGTATTTTTAATATTTTATTGCACCTAAAAGGCCTTTTAAGTTTTGGTGTGGTTAAATTTGTTAGTTTTTAAAATTGTTGCCCCTTTCTCTTATATTTTGAAAACACTTCCCCAGCCTAACATTATGAAAGTTTTTTTAATGTCATTTTAAAAATTTCATAATTGTCTTTCAAAGTATTAGGTCTAGCTTAGGAAACAGATGTGGCATAGTGAACTTATTTATTTTCCACATATCAATGTACTATCTTTTAAATTTTTTATTTATTTTGATTTTATGTGCATGAGCATAATACCTGCATATATGTAAGTGCCCCCATGTCATGCAGTGCTGGTGAAGGATGGAGGCAAGCATCCGATCCCCTGGAACTAGAGATACAGATGGTAGTTAGCTACCATGTGGTGCTGGGATTGAACACCCACCAGTCTTCACTGCTCTTAACCGCTGAGTCATCTCTTCAGCCCCCACAAATGTATTATCTTTATATCATTAAAAATAGTCTTTTGTTACTAATAACCCATCCCAGTATATATCAAACACACATATAAATCTAAATACATTTTTTATCTTCATTGATTTCTAGGAATCAATGTATTTATTTGATGCAATGTATTTATTTAGGCCATGGTTATAATTATATTGTTTCAGAATGAAACCAAATATTTGAAAAGCCTAACCCTAAAACTTTTCTTTTTCAAAATTAGGCCAACTTAGAGAATATTACTTTTATACATACAGCTTGGATTCAGTTTGTGAATTCCAAAAAAAAATTTCCCTTGCTATGGTCTTGGAGTTAAACTGAAATACACATACATAAATTTGAAGAGGAATAAGAATATTTCTAATGATGCAATTCCAAGTTTACTTTCTGCAACTGAAACCTCAGGGGGGTTGATACATATATTTCAAGGATTCTGATAAACTTTTGATAGTGTGAATTAGATTATTAATTACATGTGTATGGGTATTGTTGACCTATAGTAATATTCTTGAATATATGTTGGTCTCTGTCAAGCATTTACTTCTAAATGAGAATTTCCTCAAACCATTATGCAGACAAGTTTACCATCTTGATTAACAATAAATTGGCCTCTTTCTTTCAAACCCATTAATAGGTGGATTAATGGATAGATAGATGTTAGATAGATAGATAGATAGATAGATAGATAGATAGATAGATAGATAGATAGGTTTAAAAGTGCTAGACCAGTGGACTGTACAAATTAGGCTTGGCCAGCACTGGTGTGGGGAGATTTGAGATTTGATAGATAGATAGATAGGTTTAAAAGTGCTAGACCAGTGGACTGTACAAATTAGGCTTGGCCAGCACTGGTGTGGGGAGATTTTTTTAAATTATTTTTAGAATCATCTTAAATGCATTTTAGATTACATCTTGCTCTTACTTCTAATGTATTCTTAAAACATTTCATATTTATGAAATCTGTAGATGATTAGTTTTTCCTAAAGAAAATGTATGATTGTAGTATTGGTTTTAAATAAAACCAACGAGCACTGACAACTGGTAGGCTGAGCAAACTATGAGACCTAGACCCACACCCAAGAGTATTTGGGAAACAGACATTAGATTCATTAAGCCTTAAAAAAAAAGACAAATAATAATAAAGGACATGAAGTTGGGGGGGTAGTGAGGGAGTAGAGAGTGGGGGGTATCTGACTATGATCAAAATACATTGCATGAAATTCTGTAATCAATCGAATATTTTTCAAAATCATGCCTTAAAAACTTATGCCTTGGGTTTTGGTATTGGTGAAGGGTTCTCAGAAGTGGGTATGACTTCCCAGCCTTCCATTTCACTGTCCCTGTCATGTGGCTTTTAACTTTTTGCTTCCTTGGATGAAAATATGGGGAATTTTTTCCCAAATGCAGAGCTCTGAATCAAGATGGAAACTCAATATCCCCACCACCTGTTCTCGCTCAAATGGATTCCGTGCTTGTCACCTCAGCTCACATTCACTTGCATGTTTCTGACTCCTCTAGAAGCAACAGCAGCTCCTTGTCCCACCAAACAGAGCATAGCACTGGGGCCTGGACCTCTGAGGGGCAACAACCCTGGAACCTGGGATTAAAATTATCTCCTTATAAAAACAACTGCAACAGTCTGAGGACTGGGTTTCTGAAATTCTCAATGTCTGTGTTATGATAATTTAGGTTTTACGACTATAGGAACTATTAAAAGAATGTGCAGCTAAGTTAGATTCTTCTGTGCTTGAGTCTTTTGAGTGGGAGATGGGGAGTGCGCTGTGCCTGGAGATGAATATGGAGGTGTATATTTACAAAAGTGAGTGGTCTTTATTTAGGGAGGATGATGTGGTGAGCGAGACGTTGGCCGGAGTTCGCTGGTCCTTCCGTCTGCAGCAGTTCATGTTCTTTGTACTGGAAGTAAATGTGGTGTTCAATTAAATTTAAATCTGTGTGGTTTCAACACACATAACTGAAGTGACATGAAGATCTGACGCACATATCCACTGTGAAATGTCCTCACAGGCCAGCTGAAGCAGCATCCGTATCTCCTCATGAGTCATCACTTGGTGCATGTGGTGTGGATCACCTGAAATCTACCCTATAGCAAATTTCCAACACAAGACACAGTGAAATGTTTTTGGTCTTTTTGAGATAGGGTCTCACTGTGTGGCCCTGGCTAACCTGGAGCTTGCTGTGTACACCAGGCTGTCCTCACGCTCACAGAGATCTCCCTGCCTCTGTCTACCAAGTCCTGGGACTAAAGGTGAGCCACCGCGCTGGCACAAGACACTGTATTGACGACAGTCATCATGTGGAATAATAGATCTCAAGACTTAGTCATCCCATATAACAACTTTGAACCCTTTGTCCAACAGCTCCTCGTTCACTTCCTCTCCTCTCCAACCACAGTTGTCCTTGCTGCTGTGAATTCAATTGTTTCAGAATCCACATAGAGTGACATCACAATGTATCCTCCCTGTTCGGCTGAGTTCACTTCACAACTGCTGGAACACGTCATCCATATTGTTGGAAGGATAAATGTCTCAGCTTGGAGCCCCAGCTAAGGGTTCAGAAACCCCTGGCCCCTTAACTGTGTGACCCTCCACCCCTAACCCAGTGACTGAGCTGTCTGGGAAAAAGTGTGCCAGCACTTGCCGTCCCGACCCCGAACCATAACGCCAACACTTTTAAAATATGTTTTCATTTATTATTTTTAGTTTATGTGTATGAGTCAGGTCTGTGTCAGGCTGATCAGGAGGCCAGGGGGAGGTGGGGGTGTGGACAGCCTATGGAGGGATCTTCTTTAAAGGGTAAAAACTCATTCAACTTTATATATTACAGGATTTATACTGAGTTCAATATTATATTGCTGCATTAATTCAGCTGTGAACCTAAAAATTTATAGCCACTTTTGAAAGAGATTTATCCTTATTCTGGAGTGTGTTACTGAATATGTTAAAGCTGTAATGAAATGCTTCTTCTAATCATGTGGTTATTAAATTAAAAATAAAAAAACAAAACAAAGAAACAAACAAAAAATGCAAATAATATGAAGACCCAAGAGAATATGCCCCCAACCAAACCTCCAGTCCTACAGAAGTGTTCTGCAATGAGAACGAGAATTTAAAACAACAATAATAAACCTGATCAAAGAACTTAAAGGAAACACAGAGGAAAAACTCAACGAACTCAAAGAGGATAGGCAGAAAATTGGTACAGAGTTCAAAAGCTGCAAACATGCAGGTGAATGCAAGAGCAAAAACAATTCGGGATTTAAAAATTGAATTCTCAGCCGGGCATGGTGGTGCACGCCTGTAGTCCCAGCACTCGGGAGGCAGAGGCAGGTGGATCTCTGTGAGTTCAAGGCCAGCCTGGTCTACATAGTGAGTTCCAGGAATCCCTGGCTCCTTTCTTTTACCAGTTCCATCTATGTGAAGATACGTCAAAGGTCCTGCTTCACCATAGCTGGCTTCTCTTGCAAGCAGTGGATGAGCATTCCCCTTTCCCCACATCCCCCCACATTTGGTATCATTTGTTCTCTTGATCTTAGCCAGTCTGACTGGGGTAAGATGACATCTT